TGTAGCTATGAACATTTCATTTTGACTGAACCACGTAAATTCTTTGTGTTGTTATTATTTACTTTTGTTTTTTAGTGCATTTGTGCTCTTTCGATAAAATAAAATGAAAAGTTGATATAAATTTTTTTACAAACAATTAATGCACAAACTAATTATACTTATAAAAAATAATTTAAAATTTAAAAAAATGTCATATATATATATATATATATATATATATATATATATATATATATATATATATATATAATCTAAACTTTTAGAATAACTCTTTCAAACACTTGCCATATTTAAACATATAATATAACTAAATACTAAGGACCAGTTTAATATAGCAAATCTCGTATGTTATAATTTCCTTAGATTTTAATTATTCTCAATGGTGACTAATATATTTAATGTGGTCTAAACCACTGATATATAACCACTAAAAATATAAGTTTTGTAGCGTAGGCTAATAGCATATGCCTAGTTATTTAAGGACACGTAATTAAACAATAAAGACTTTAGTAATCTATTTGCCAAACCAAACCAAGGTGGCCCTTGGGGCAAGATATGACACATCGTGTCTTGATCTTTTGATTTAATTTTCTTATTACTAATAGAAAGGAAAAAAATGATATTCAGATTCATTTTTCTTAACACATAGATTGGGAAAGGCTGAACTTTTATCTAATCTTTTAGCATAATGGAGAATCTCTTTGAGAGAAAAAAAATCTACATAAAAAAAAACTTTATATTAATACTACATAAAAGTAAAATGTATTTAATTTTAAAAAAAAAAATTAAAAGATGGCTCCTCATTTAACATCACATTATAATAAAGAAATACGAGCAATAACACTTTTTCTTTTACAATAATTATTAATGAAAGATAATTTTTCCAAATAAATACTATAAGTACTGACTGAGAGAATAATTATTTTGAAAACTATTTCGAAAAGAAAAACATATAAAAATATCTAACCAGTATAAATTATTGAGTAAATCTTGATTTGTTGTGCACTTCAAAGATATAAATCTTGATTTCCAGGTATATCTTTTTTAAGTTCCATCAAATTTTTATTAAGTTAAAAGAAAACAAATCCTTGTAAACAAGATTGGAAACTATTATTGTTTATTAAGAGTAATTATTTGATCTTATTAAATAATTAAAGTTGTAAGTAAACACTTGAGTATGTGTCATGATTTTTTACATTAATTAAATTAGATACGCAATAAGTTTTTTAAATTTTATTATCTAATATAGGATACTGGTGCTTTGTATTGAAATAGTTTAGTTACTTCAATTGTTATTAAATACAAATAAATAAATATTTATAATCAAATGATATAATTATTATTACGGAAAAATGCGTTTTTTCATGTATTTATTAACAATATTAATTAATTTTATTATATATCTTTCAATAATATATTTACCTTAATTTAAAATAACTGACTATCTTTTATTTATATATACTAATATATTCAATGTAAAATATACCAAAATAATATATTTACCTTAATTTAAAATAACTGACTATATTTTATTTATATATAATAATATACTCAATGTAAAATATATACCAATTTAACTACGATAATTATTCAAATGGATAAATGAACTTTGTCTAATTAACACAAATAAATGTATCTCTCATCAAATTGTATCTGTTATTAATATTTACATAATTTAAAGTTTTTAATAATATGAAATATAAATAAAAATGTATAAATCAAAGAATTTAATTGTAATTACCACAAATATTTTAATTATCAGAAATATTTTAATTATATATATTCATTAATTAAATATTTAATTGAATTATAAGTTAAATTATATGATACTTTTAAATATTTAATTTTAATAAAACTAATTATAAATAAATGTAAACGAATTGGGTAGTGTATATAATTACTTTAACCAATTCGAACTTTAACAATCATGTATTCGTATTTACATTTTGCATATTTACGTTAATAAAATTATTTATAGAAAAATCAATAAATTATTTTCTCTTAAAACAAATTTTTCATTTTAAAATTTAGTATGTCTAAATGATATTATAAACTATTTCAAATTGATAAGACATAATAAACGATAAATAGTGTGTTAAGATAAAAATAATTTAAACAATATTTGATGAGAATATATAGACTCTTTAACGTATCAATACGAAATATTCAACAAGAAATAAATTAGAATAGATAAAAAAATGTATAGTATAAATTAGATTTATTTTGATTTAGTTCATTTATAAGTTTATTTTATATTAGTCTATAAATTTATAGGTTGATTTATTTAGAATAATAATTATTTTTTAAATAAAAATAAAAATAATATTATTTTATTATATATATATATTATAAATTAATTTATTAAAGAATTAATTCAAATAAAAAGATTAAAATTAATTATTATTTTAAATTAATAAATCATTAAAAAATAATAATAATAATAACAACAATAAAATTTTTAAGTCTAATATAAAATTGAATTGATACGTTATTTTATAATTTATATATCAAAGTATTATATCTTAAATAAAAATTAATTTTATAATTTATTTTAAAATATATATTTAATTTTTTTTTCACTGTATCAGTATAGAGAACAAATTGAATTGAAGAGCGCCGATAATATACAGCTGCATCTCAATGTCAAGCATTGAGATACATTGTAGGACACACATGCTTACATTTTTAAGGATACATCAGCAACTAACAAAGACCAGAGTATAATTAATTCTAATTCATTATAATTTTATTTAAAAAATCATTTATAAATAAATCATTTTAATAAATTAAAAATAATATTAATATATAAAAATTATTTTTATTTTCAATTGTTAAATTACGTGAAATATATGATGTAATGTAGCGCATCAAAGACAAAATGCGCGGTATTACTTGGATTGGATTGGGTAAATGCAATTGGAATGAGAAGCTGTAATATTGTGAACAATATAATTGTTTTGAGAGTAAGAACAATCAAGGATAAAGATGACACAAGGGTAAATGCAGTAAACTACAAGCAAATGGTGGACTATCTCATCCCACAAAATTTTATATGCAAATTTTAAAAAGGATTATGTGTTATGTGAAAGGAATCCTCTATATAAACGAAAAGGTAATATATATAGAGCTGTTAGTAGTCTACATAAATAGCAACTATGCAGGTTACTTAAAAGATTATAAAAGAATGTTTGGTTATGTATTTTTTGATAAATGGTGGTGTTATATCCTGGAGTTCTAAGAAGCCGTCTGTGGTCACCTTATCAACTAAAGAAGCATAATACATAGTTGTAGCTATTGTGCAACTAAAGGTATTTGGTTAAAGCGAATTCTTAATAAATTTGGTCAGATTAAAGATACAAGTGTTACACTCTATTGTGATAACAGTTTTACTATGAAGCTTTCTCAAAATCTTGTATTTCATGGATGAAGTAAGCACATCGAAGTTAGATTTCATTTCTTTCTCAAAATCTTGTATTCCATGGACGAAGTAAGCATTTCGAAATCAGATTTCATTTTTTACGTAATCTCAATAACGAAGACAAGATGAAATTAGCATACTACAATTTAATTAATCAAGTGACTAATATAATGAGTAAACCACTCAAGCTAGAAGCATTTGTGAAATTGAGAGAGCTACTAAGAGTATGCAAAGTTCTCAACTTATACTGATTATGATAAAATCAGATCTAGGGGAGGATATGTTGGGAATAAATCCCTAAGTTATAGGGATGTAAGTTCGATTGAACTAATATGAAGGCAAACTGATTGTCGTAACCACAATCATCAAGAAAATGCACAAATATCAGATTCAAACACACATCTGGAACATGTTTGACTCCTTTAAGTAATAACTCAACTCCCATATTAGTTTGCAAGCAAACATCACCAACACTAACAACCTTTGATATACCATCATTACTCATCTTCAACACTCCAAAATCATAAAAAGTGTAACATGTGAAGAACTCCTTTCTCGGTGTAATGTGCAGTATAGCACCATTATCAATAATCCACATGCTCTAATCAGATATAAGATTAATAGACTCATAGTCATGGAGAATAACAAGGTCGCCACATATAGTAATAACATGATCATCATTATGATCATTCTCTTTCTCCTTGCTCTTCTTGTCTTTGTTATCCTTTTTCCACTTAACAGTATTTTTAGATGTGTCCAGGTTTATTACAATAATGACACTCCATATTCTTGTATCTTATCTTGGACTTGCTCCTGCTCTTTTCTCTACCATCTTTCGATTCTTTTTTCTGACAGCTCCTCCTGTTTTCAGCACCTAATAGAATGAGATAAAGAACCATGTGCTTTTCTTCTCATCTCTTCATTAAGAGCACCACTCTTTGTCATTTGGTAAGAAACAATATCATTAGAAACTGAGTTTGTAATTGAAACCCGAAATATCTCCTAAGACTCTGGTATAGTATTCAGTAGTCGAAATTCTAAAATTTCATCATCAAAATTTATATCCATTCCTGACAGTTGATCTAGGTGCCCTTAAAATTCATTTAAGTGATCTGAAATGGAAGAACTCTCCCTGTACCTCAAATTCATCAAATAATTCAACAAATACAATTTATTCATTCTTCATCAGACATAGAATCTGACTTTTGTAAAACAAAGACAAGAATATGCAATTTCTTCACAAACAACAAATCTTTCAACTTGCCTTTCTTTAAAGCAATCATCTTTGTATTTGTCTCTATCATTCAAGTATGCCACCCTGCTAGGGATTTTCAAAGAGATTTATTGGGGAGAAACAACACCAATGAAATATGAGTTTAACTCATATAAAGGAATGACATCATTCTCAATAAAAAAAACTTTAAGGTATTAGGTCATGAGTCATATTTCTTTATATGTTGCTCAATTTTCTCATTCTTACTTAATGTGAGACTTAAGTCACACTTGGATTAGCAAACAAAATTAATGTATGATCCCCATGAGGCATATGTTTAAATGATTTGACAATCGCATACTGTAGCAGATGGTGGAATGCCTTAATATCTATTTGTCATCTTTTGATGCTGGTAAATGTATATCTCTGACATGCTACTGTCTCGTTTCACAAGCAACTTGTGTTCACATTTTTCAGAATTACTCAGATATTCCATGTTACAAAAAATATTGGTTGCTACTGCTGATTTTGGTTAGTATGATGATGTATGTGAATTTTAAGGGGAAACTCTTATGCTTATGTATGGCCTCTTCATTTGGTTCTTTATGCATGAATTCTTTTAGATGGTGTTTTGGCAGAAGGAATGTAAAACATTCCAGAGGGTAAGTGACATGGGAATACAAGTTTCTAATACTTGATAGAATTGGGAATGTTAATTTTGAATAAATAAGAATAAAGTTGCTCACCTTTATAGGTTTAGAATGCTGCTGACAATCGGATGGAATTGAATGAATGTGAAAGATATAGCATACCCATATGAAAATAAAACTGCTACTGATTTAAGGCCACTTTTACACTTATGATATGAAAAGCCTTACCTCCTCTCCTTTTTCATATTAAATTTCTTATTTCTTTGAGTGTTTCCCCAGGTGCAGGAGTACCAGTGATGTTCCCTCTTTCAGTAACACTGACGATAAAGCTAATCCAGATTCTGGAAACGGACATGAGCTGTCCGTCAAATGTTAATAGTGGCTATGTTTGTATCCGGTGATTAATGGCACCATAATGAACCCTGTACCACTGAATTACTTCAAGCAGTTCCCTGATCATGCTTCCAGGGGTTTGCATATCTGATTATGGGTATCTCAGACACAAGGATGCCTATGGTGGAATATGAACATGATAAATCTTTTGAAATTGCTGCTCTTTGGGCTGGTAACCCCGATTCACAGTCTGTTTCACATTCGGATGCCAAATACTGCCTTAAGGAATCCAGTCACTTAAATCCACCCTTAGGGACATTCAACAGTTTAATTGTCAGATGGTAGTGCAATATCTACTCTTTGTTTTGTCATGTAAAAGTAAGTTTGAAATTCAAAGAGGGCATGTCTTATTTCTTATTTCAGTTTCGTGAAGAATGATGTTGGCTTTATAAGGATGAGATGGGTATTAAACGTGGGCCACGTTCTATCAACGATTTGATTTCTTGGCACAGTCATAGATATCTAAAAGATTCAACAATGGCAAGATGCAATGCAAGTTTTTTTCTATGAAATCATATTTTAGGCTGTCGATCTATTGCTGGAAATGATTGAATGATTATCCCGTTGTTTAGCATCATCTTTTAGGCCGTGTTGATTTACTGTTCACACACAACTCAAGCCACTCAAATGTGACTGGGAGAAGGTAATTGAAGGATTGCCGTTTAGCATGGTTTTGAATGAAAATACAAACATGCACTTAATATTTCGCCTCAATTACAATTTTGGTTCTGGAATATTGTGTGTACTTTTCATTTGGGTCCTCTGAAATCATCTAGGAAGGGGAACATAAAATAATTTTATTCTCATATCATTCATACCACGTCCATCAATTACAGCATGTATAGGGAGAATAATAAAAGCCCAATCCTAAAAATACATAATATCAGGGATTGATTTATTCTCCCCTTAATTCTAGAGATTCTGATTTCCTATCATAATCTGAATTTAACACCAAAACCTACATTTATTTAATTTCAGATCTCTGAAACTTAATGGAAATTGCTGATTCATGAAGAAGTATACTTATGTGGCAATTGGAAAATTGTTGGTACAGTCCACAAATTTTTTGATTTCCCATCTCAGTACTTTTCCTTATGTTTCTATGATGATTCTTTTTAAACGATTTAATTGAAAATCTTAAATTTTTAATTACTCAAGTGAAGCCCATATTTTTTTAAGTATTCAGTTTGTAAGTAAGTCAATTTTCAGAGGCCAAAACTATTTTTTTAATGTACTTTTAAAATTGGAGTTTATTATGAGTATACATTATAAACGAATGATATGATACTGGTTTCCCTGGGTCCTAGACATGGACTGGACTGGTAGGTCTACTTGTAGTTAACAGCCTGACATGTTATTAATATTCTAATGCTCAAATTTCCATAGGCTGTTCAAAGAAGGCTAAGTTTTGCAATGTTCGGTCAGTTGAGGTTTTGAGTGAATACCTGTTAATCAGAACATGTGATGAGGTTTTGTTGGGGGTTTGAATTTGATTTAATAAATTAATGTCATACCAAATTAGATGAAAGAACATTCAGTTAATATCTTTTTCCATTGCTCTATCTAGTTCAATTTGCCCGGTTATTTTCTATCCTTTGGTGTTATGTACCTTTTCTGTTTTCTGTTTCAAAGGTCGTGCTGTTTTGTCCCAGATACTGTGCCGTTTGTCAAATATGTTTTCTCGATTGTTTCCTATTGTTATCACTGATTAATTTTTTTCTTCTACACAGTTTCATCTATATTTTCCCTGAACTTAAGTGTCACTATTTGTGTGTATTTGGTGATGAAATGTATATTGTATTTTCTTAATTATAGGGTTATGGGGTTCCTGAAGTCCAAATCAAATACACAATTTAGGAGGATATGTTCTGGATTTATATGGTTAGAAGTTTATAAGATTGAAGTGTTTGTTTGTTATTATGATATTGAGATTCTTTGAAATTTAGTTATGCTATTTTCATGTTATGAAGAAATGAGTTGATCAAAAGCAGTAGATTGAAGAACCTAAGTTGATAACAATGATCAGGATAGTGGTTGTGATTCTTGGTCCTCATGGAATTGTGTCTAGTTCCAGCAATAATATCTATTACAATACTAAAACCACATTGCATTTTGTTCATTGCCTTTGTGTTACTGGCTAGATTCTGTATGGTAGTGGTGGTATTTATTTTCGCATATGATGGGGGCAATTGTATCATTTTCAATAGAATCTTAGAGGTTGGGCAGAAACCGTTTCATCTCTTCGGAGCAATAGCTCTGGGGGGGTTCTTATGTAATGCATCTAGTTTTCCAATCAATAAAACCCTCTTTCTGTTTATCTTTAATTCCTTTTCCAATCAATTTACCCTCGCTTTCTCTAGAAAGAGTTATGTTACTCTGACAATCACCCTTGTGGACCGACTTCGTTAATTTAAGATCTTTCATTCTGATAAGATGACACCTTTGTACTATTAAGGAGATACCTCTGCAACCATTTGTAGATCAGCTTCTACAAGTAATGAGGTTGGTGATATGGTAGATTATTGCTTGCAAGTCGTGGAATGCAGTGATTTTTGACACAATAACAGATTACTTATCTTCTTGAAGGAAGAGGAAGATTTGGTTTCCTCCTAAGCCTCAACCATCTACTAATGGATGTAAATATCATGTTGAAAAGATTGAATCAGAAGCTGTGAGTACTGGCTTCTGCATAGCTTGTTTGAGCTTTTTTGCTTAAATTGTACGTATAATGATCATAAACAAGTATTCTACAGTTGGTTCTCAAGCAAGATTCCCCTGAAAGCAATGCTAATGGCTATAATCAGTTTCGAGTATTGGCAACAAGAAAGAAATCATCCTTGGCCTTGTTATATTACTTTATCTGTAGACTCGATGCGGCTACCTCTGTATTGTGATAGGTTAATGCCAAAGGAATATACAGGGGAGTAGGTTTATAGATTCAGTTTCATCTGTGTAGACAGTTTATGTTTACCTGTTGATAAATGCATAGCGTTATACTCATTTAGTGTCTGCTTAATATCTGCTTTCTGCTCCATTATTTTACAACTTGCATTTTCTTAGTCATCCAATTTCTAGGATTTTCATAACTATACATGGAGATCTCTTTATGGTTGTTATCTTAATGAAAATGTCCGAATACTTTTCTTTGTTTCCAAATCTAACTATTGTCAAATTTTTTGTATGAACTAATCTAATTCCAACTACTAATGACACAATTTAACTTTGCATAATTCAGAAAGTCTTACTTAGCACAACTTTATATGTTACGATTGTAGTGGGGCTAGCATGTCTGTGGCCATAGATGCTGTTACACCATTATGAGTTGCATACAGCCACCTATTTTTTTAGTAGGATAGCTTTGAATGATTTAGCTCTAGTTTCAGACGTCACGTATACGTGTCTGCAGCTTTAGACTTTTTTCTATACGTAAACTATTTATATGATCCACTAAACCAGTCACATCTTTGTTCAAAGTTAATTTGATCCGTGTTTGCTTTCCTTGATCGGTGGTTTGCTTCTACATAAACGAAATGTTGAAATTGCGTATTCCTGTGAGAAACAAAAGTAGGAAACGTAAGGTTATGGTTGCAATAGGTATGCACTTCATCCTTTTATACTTAGAGGTTCTTGATGTCTTAATAAACAAATATATGCAATCTATTACATATCTTCCAATTAACAGTATTATCGTATTTCATTTCAGGTTATAGATCAGCGTCATTGATGACATCGGCTGTACTGCTTTTTTGGTGATCGGCTGCACTGCTTTTTTGGTGATGAAATAAGTAACTAGTTCATTCTTCTGGACTTTTTTGTGGCAGTTTAGTTTTTTCTCTTCGAAACTGTGAATAATTGTTTCTGTGTATATATTTTTTGGTAGTGAATGAATGATATGGTACAGAATAGTTCAATTCATTATTGAGTAAAAAGCTTCAGAAACATTAGTACAAGATACTGAAAATAAAACAATGTTAATCTCTAATTTCCATTCCTGTCCCAAGTTATTCACCATTTATTAGTTATACCCTCATTGTTTATATGACAAAGATTTGATTGAATTATATTAAAAAGCTTCGATTTAACCAGTGACAACTATTTGATTTATATCTACATTTTCGTGTATTACATGCTTCTTTTTGTCTATTTTTTTTTAGAAGATTCACTCAATACTTTAATAACAGGACTCTCTCCTGATTATTACTTGCATTTTGACACATAATTACATAAATTTAACTTTTTACTCTTCAACACTCAAAAGGTAAGTATTTATTATTAATTCTTTAATAATTAAATTAAGCATAAAATCATAAATATTTCACATTTATTAAAGTTGGAATTTGTTTATGATATATTGATAATGTGCGATACTTAAAGGGACCGAATTCAGAAACTTGGGGTCTAAACTTACATATTTGTAATATCAAAGGGATTGAATTGACTCATTTTGAAATTTGAGACTAAAATTTTAGAATTTCAATACCCGAGTGACCGAACATGTAAATAAAAAATTATTAGTTCTGCTTGGACGCTTTTCTCACCTGTTAACAATTTCAGACATGGCCTAAACTAGGGAAATGTTCGGTATTACCCATTTAAATATGCTAACATGCTGAAGACAAACAGCAACCCCACTCTGAAGAATGTTAACTTCATTACATCGAATCAACTGATAATTTAACAACACCATGCAAGATATGATTTAGAGTCCTATAAGGAACATCAAGTTTTATTGTGGATTTAATGATGTAATTTTGTTGGGTTTATAATTTTGTATGATACTGCTTTCATAGCAACCCTAGAACCCAAGATTTGTGTTATAAAGCTATTGCGGTAAGAAACAGTGATCTTCAAGCTTTACAGAGATAAACAAATATTGTTCATTTAAATGTGTTTTTATCCTTATTTCTCTTTAAATTCATGCTTCAAATTATAACCTGTGGGAGGATCGAATATACTCTTACACGCATTTGAGCATCTCATCATATATCTATAAATCTTTGAAATTTAATATTGTTATGAAAGGTAAAAAAATAATATATTTTTAATACTTTTGACACGACAAATATTATTCCTCTGTTTGTCTCCGGGTGTAAAAAAGAATTAAAATGACGTAGTTTTTTTTTAAGTATTTATAAATAATAAATTTAATTATTAATATTATATTGAAAATCATGTTAAATAATTAAATTAGAAGCAAATTAAAAATTATCTAAAATAATTTTAACTAATCATTATGTAACTGTGGGAATCTAAAGTGGTTTTCAGTTGTAGACTAAAAATTTAAATGTTTCAAAGTGAGTATTTAATAATCAAATCAAAAATATATTTGAAGTGATTACTTAAGATTTCTAATTTTAATGTAACTAAATTAAAAAGGTAATTATATTTAAAATAAATCATTTTTATAATTATTTATTTATTTTAATATAAAAAAAGGAAAGTCAAAATATATTTAAATAAATTAATAAAAACTAAAATTAATTGTAATTAATATAAAAGTAATTATTTAAAGATATTATTTACTTATTTATATTTTTTGTGATAATGCAAGGAAAAATAAAGAAAATAATATCATTAGGAATGTCACCATGAATCTAGTAAACTAGTGCAAATGGGTCAAGGAAATAGGAGCCTTCCATGCACTTTGTTATCGTTTTTAATAAAATAAGAATTATAATTATAATTATTAAAAATAATATAATGTGTGATTTGAACTAGAAAAGGTTTTGGTTTTGTACAAAGTAGAGGAGGGACCTTTCGATTTGAACTATTGTGGTCGAGGAACATGCTTATCAGCATGAAGAAGTTGACAAGGGAAGACAACGTATTGAAGAGGACATCAGATCTAGAGGTAGTGTTCTGATGTTTGAGACTAGTGAGGTGAGGTGAGGGTTGAGGTCCGGATCAGAGATGCGTTCTCGAGTTAAGGGTAGGGTTAGGGTTCTTACACGTTGCCAGGTGCACACCAAAGGGGGTGTTGCGATCACGTCACGGGAAGATGGAATGGAGCACATTCTCCATAACCTGCTCTAGGAATGATGCATGTGACTCTGAGGGACCCAACTTGGAACCCAGATGCAGAAAGTTCGAGTCTTGGAGTTAGAGGACTCCGTGATTTTAGTTTGTGTCAGATCCAATAAGGAGGCTCGCTGAACATATTCAGTGTTTGTGGATGATGACTCTCTTTCATTCATTCGATTGAGTCAATGTTGTTGTTCAATTCATTCGATGACTCTCTTTTCTTTAGCCTTTCCATCCTTGAATTTATGAAAGGAAAATTGATCATAGAAAGCTTCCTTTTACCTGTCAATTTGCACAATTTCAGGTTAAGGGTGGTTGTAGCTGATTGTGACTAGTGGAGGGTGGTTGTAACTGGCACGATGGTTGTGACTCTGGCTAGTGAAGGGTGGTTATAGCTGAGCCAGAGAAGCATAAGAATGGGATTGGCACCTTCTAAGATGAGGAAAGGGCAAACGTGTTTCCCTTATTGTTTCTTTATTATATTATATATATTTGAATTTATTTTATTCTTTATATATTTGAACTCTACTCCGTAGACTTGAGAGAAAAAATACAGAGAAATCTCAAATCTAGATATGGAAGTTGTAAAAATTATTCTTACCTTATGTTTCTTTACTTTCTCAAGACTTTTTATATAATAAGAAACATAATTGACATATACAATGTATGATTTTTATATATTATAATAATATTATTGTGCAAGAAAATTTCGTAAGGAAGTTTTTTTCATCTACACTACAAATTTTCTTATATATGTGCATACTCGAAACGAGGGAAGAGGCAAAATCTAAATTTTCCTTTCATCCTTTTTCTTCTCTTGTCTAAATTTCAAGCAACGAGACTTTACTCGTGCAAGATCTGGTGAAACGGGAGAGAGCTTGAATTAAGTGAGAAAACTTCGGTAGAAATACCACATCAGGTAAGGAGAAGTTTAATTCATTCAATATATGAAATTGAATTGTTGGGTACTCTGTGAATAAGGAATAGGAGTAGAGATATGAATTATTTGAATGTCTGATTTTGAAGAATTTATGATTCTAATGAACTATTCACCGTTTGAAAGTTTTTGAAATTCTAAAAATCAAGGATGAATTATATGGTAAAATTGTTGTTTTCAACTTAAATTAGATATAATTCATGTTTAATTTGAATTTGGGACTATTTTGGTTGTCTAAAATTAAGTAATTTGAAATCTGCTAAAATTTGCAAATTTTGATATTGTTACTGGCGCGAGGAAGAAGAAAGGGACATGGAAGGAATTTTCAAAAATGTTCAACGGTAAAATAGTCATTTTCGGGACATGGAAGGAATTTTTGAAAATGTTCAAGGGTAAAATAGTCATTTTTGGGACATGGAAGGAATTTTCGAAAATGTTTAACGGTAAAATAGTCATTTTCGGGACATGGAATGAATTTTTGAAAATGTTCAAGGGTAAAATAGTCATTTTTTGGACATGGAAGGAATTTTCGAAAATGTTCAAGGGTAAAATAGTCATTGTACATCTTAGGGACATAAATGGAATTTTTGAAAATGTCCAAGGGCAAAATAGTCATTTTCGGGACATGGAAGAAATTTTTAGAAATGTCCAAGGGTAAAATAGTCATTTAGGGACATACATGAAATTTTAAGAAAAGATTAAAGGTAAAATAGTAATTTAATGATTTTGGAAATAATTTTCGAAATGATTTCGGAAATAACTTCGAATATATATATATATATATATATATATATATATATATATATATATATATATATATGTATATGTATATAATATAGAATGAAAGTAGTCGTTCTAAAGAATCGACAGTGTGTTGTGACGTGTGTGGGTCAGACTGAGCCTAAGGGTTGATGCCTAGAATCAGTCATGAGACGTTATATATTGGCTAGACTGAGTCGGAGGGTTGGTGCCCAGAATCAGTCAAATACTATTATTTATTAAACCAAATGAGCCGTGAGGACAAGTAGTCCAGAATTTGACATATGTAAATGATTTTTGTTGTGTTTGAATGGTACCCGGGGTGGTACAGAGTACATTAGTGTAATAACTATGTCGGAGGATTCTGAATGAGGTCTCATACTTCACTGATTGATCGGGTCAAGTAGACTACGAGATCAGGTGGTAAGAAGTCGATGGGGGGATGACTGGTGGCGCGCTTGGAGGAGTACTCCAGTATGAGTGATGAAGGGCGCCAGTAATCCTACTCTATGTGGAGGGTGGTCAGAATGGTACTGCGGGTGCCGATCACAATGTGCCCACAAATGATAGCCTCTGAGTTCGGGCATAGTTAGGGTATACTTCCGGAAGGTGTCTTAGTATGTTGATGATTTTGTAATTAATCATAATATGTAATTATTACTTCTAGACCTATTTTATTATTTCGAATAATTTAATATTTACCCCTATTTTTCCTTGTGGATGGGACTGCGATGATCACTTTTATGTGGGAGCAGATCAGAAGTTGAGAGATGGAGATGTGACTACTGGACAACAGGGATAGTTCAGTGGGATAGTTTCGAGGGAGCTACTTTTACATGTATAATATATAAATAAATTATGTTACTATATTTTGAGGTTTCGTTAGTGAATCGAAATTTCAATCTATGTTACAATTACAGTAATATAATGTAAGATAGATGTCGTTATTTACTTGTTTACTATTTTGCGAAGGCATCATTATAATAGCGATTTCTAGGGTCGTTACAATAGTGGTATCAGAGCGGTAGTATCCTTGTAAATCTGTGGGGATGGGTAGTGAACCTATGATAAGTCCGTTGTGATTATACTCTGATATGTGAGTGTGTGTGAATGTTTGCTCTGTATTGATGGTTGTGTTTGATATAGGATGGCACCGCGACCTCCTACTCCTACTCCACCGAGTGTAGATGCCCTAGCCAGGGCAATGGAAATGTTGGCAGCTGTCATGTAGTAGCAGGCTGCCTACCCGCAGTGGAGGCCAACTATGGCATCATCCTCTGCTGGATTCCACCAATCAGAGCAGATGGGGCTGACTGAGTTCATGAGGCATAATTCGCCTCGTTTTGGAGTAGATTTGGGTCTAGATGCAGCAGAGAAGTGGCTGCGTGAAGTGGATAAGATTTTTAAGGCTACCTTATGCTCGGAAGATAGGAAATTGACATTCGGGAAATACTTACTAGTGGATGAGACTGAGTTCTGGTGGTCAGGGACTCAAAGGATGATGATTGCACGTGGGGAGGTGTGTAATTGGGAAACCTTCCGTGAGAGGTTTCTAGAGAAATACTTCCCTAACAGTGTTAGATTTCAGAAGGATACTGAGTTCCTAAGTCTGAGACAGAGTAATATGACGGTTCATGATTACGTCGTACGATTTGAGCACTTATCTCGTTTCTACACAAGTACATCTTCAGGACAGTGGTTTTGCAGGAAGTTTAAGGAAGACTTGAGGGTTGAGATCAAGCTCATGGTGGTTCCTTTCTCTATCAGGAGATTCCCAAAGCTGGTGGAGAAAGCGAAGACAATAGAGAGACTCCAGGAGGGAGGAGTCAGAGTGATGAGCACCCACCCAAGTAGGGTCCCGAGTGGGGGTAGTAGATCAGAGAGGAAGATGTCTTATTCATGCCCCCAATCTTCCAGGAGTGGCAGTGTTACCCCAGCACCTCGATCATCGGGATCTGTATCCGGGGTGAAATGTTTTCAATGTGGAGGCCCTCATTACAGGAATCAGTGCCCACAGAATACCTTCATTAATCCTTCCCAAACTTCTCAAGCAGGTATTTGCTACACTTACCAGAAATCAGGACATATGGCTAGAGATTGTCCACAGAAGCCCAGTGCTATAGTCTCAGCTGAGTTATCATTAGCACCCAGGGGGAGTGACGCGAAACTCAGAGTTGTAGGACAGATGTTTGCCTTGTTAGGAGTAGAGGCATCGAGGTTAGAGAATTTAGTGCAAGGTGTGTGTTTTATCTCTAATAATACCTCTACGAGTTTTGTTTGATTCAGGTGCTACCCATTCTTTTATTGCTGATAATTGTTATGGATAAACTTAAGTTACCTGTGTGTGACCTACCCTATGAATTGAGGGTATCTACACCAGCAGTTGGACTGGTGGTGTCTTCCTATGTGTGTTTGAGGTGCCCAGTTGTCGTAGAAGGACGACAGTACAATGTGAACTTAATCGGTTTACCTTTGAAGGATATGGATGTGATCTTAGGGATGGATTGATTATCCACCAATCGCATTCTGATTGACTGTGGACAGAAGAGGTTGGTGCATCCAAAATCAAGAGATGAGCTTATTACATCAGCTCGGCAGGTTCAAAAAGAACTACGAGAGGGAGCTCAGTGTTATCTGATCCTGACTCAGATGGATGAAATGAAGGATAATATCCTGGAAGAGGTACCAGTTGTAAGAGAATTTCCTGATGTGTTTCCAGATGAGATACCAAGGCTGCCACCTCAGAGAGAGGTCGAATTTGGGATTGATATAATTCCTAGTTCAGGCCCAATCTCTATGGCACCATACCGGATGGCTCCAATAGAATTGGTTGAATTGAAGAAATAGGTAGAAGATTTGCTAGAAAAGAAGTTCATTCGGTCGAGTGTATCTTCTTGGGGCGCTCCTGTATTGCTAGTAAAGAAGAAAGATGGGACCTCCAGGTTGTGTATTGATTACCGGCAACTAAACAAGGTGACTCTCAAGAACAAGTACTCATTGCCGAGGATTGATGATTTATTATACCAGTTACAAGGAGCATCAGTCTTTTCTAAGATTGATTTGAGATCTGGATACCATAAGATACTGGTTAAAGAAGAGGATGTACAGAAGACAGCGTTCAGGTCGAGATATGATCATTATGAATATGTGGTCATGTCGTTTGGAGTAACAAATGCACCTGCAGTATTTATGGACTACATGAACAGGATATTCCGTTCTTATTTAGATAAGTTTGTTGTTGTTTTTATAGACGACATTCTTATTTATTCTAAAACTCGGGAAGAACACCAGGAACATCTGAGGGCAGTGTTGGCTGTGTTAAGAGAGAAATAATTGTATGCCAAGCTTTCAAAATGTGAGTTTTGGTTAGACCAGGTGCAGTTTTT